AAATTTTTTAGCAGTCACGCGACGTATCTATACGATAATCCCGCCTAGCTAAAATTTCACAACAATGCCCGTTGATTCTGCATCAATGAAGATTCTGCATCGCGCGCTGCTCTTTCCCACGGACAGGAAAGAGTTGCTTGTTTCGTCGTTTTGTTTCGCTACGACTTTCAATATGTTTCAAATAGCGTGTTATATAAAAGGAACGTAGATGAAAAACAAGATTAACAGCGGTATACAAACATCATGTGCTCTTATGCAAATTGACAGCAGAAATAATGTTTATATCTGAAACAAAAAAAAACTAGAAAAAAAGAAAGAAACTAGAAATACGCCGTCGTGAATGAATAATGAAATCTGCAGGGGATCTGCATTGCTAATACGATGCACTATAAAACTGGACGCGGAGAGCAATGATTCGACGAAAAGCGATACGACTCTCGGTGATCTACACTCAAAACATATATAGTTTTGACGAATCTTGTTTACTCTTCTGCCGTTCGTGATTTTCGTGTGATGTCATGACAGAAAAGGGAAAATAAAATTCGGCCCTCGACGGCCGAGTCGTCGGGATAATAATACGATTGCGATGCGCCACGGACACAGACGGGGCGCCCCCGTCAAGAGAGACAGACACGGATGCAAGCGAGGGGAATTCTAGGTCACTGTCCTGACTGACATCGAGGCGATGTGCGATCGCCGGGAGAAACCGAGCGTCCGGGCGGTCCGTTACACGGGGAAACCCGTTATGCGTGCGTGGAGCGTGTGCGACGAGCGCGAGCGTGATCGCGACCATGGTCACGACCGGCTGTCACGCGCGACCGCGAAACCGATCGGCGGCGACCGAGATTCGTCCCCATTTCTTTTCGGCGATCACTCTCTCCGGAGCGTCCCTGCCCTTCCCCGCGGTCGGACATGCACGTTAAACGACGAATCAAAACTCACAAGCGTCGTCTCGTCGTCGCATGTAATACCTACTCTTCGTCACGCGTACACATAATCGGCACGCCTCACAAATTCGTGAGGACCAATGCTAAAATACCGTAACGCGTGTCGTTTGTATGAGATTCGCGAGCAGAGCGCGAATGGGCGAATTCGTCGAGTATCATCGCACTCGTTGCTCATCAATCGTGTCGATTCGCCAGGGAAACAGTATTTTTTTAACGGACTCAAACGGCGCAAATTAATTAATTCGTGATGATTCTCTTGTTATTCATTTTATATCTTCTTGTGATTACCGCTATCAGTTTTTGTAAAAAAAATTTGACCGCAATCGATCTTCTCGCGCACCCTTCTATTAATTTTTATATAATACAATTTTAAGTAAATTTTTCACATTAAAATAAATTTTCCAATAAAATATGTTCTTTTTTAATAAAAAGTTCTTCGGAACTGATTGTCTATAATTTTAAGAAAATTTTCATATCAAAATAAATTTTCCATTAAAATCTGTTTTTTTTTTAATAAAAATCTTCGAAACTGAGTTGATAGATCCTTCCAGAAAATTCACAATATACCATATAAAATCGATACAAAGTGTTCTAGATTGATATACAAATGGAAGTAAATAGGAAATGTGTATCGAAATTGATACACGCGGCGGCCCAAACCCACTTAGGTTTATGTATTCAATTGGATACACATGGCAGTCACAATGACAATCATGCGTATAATCGATTTTCAGTGCAATCTGAACGCAAACAGACAATCGCGTTCTTGCGCTTGTAGACGGCATAAACAGAATATATAATGGTATAATTACGAAATCCCAAGAAATCAGGAATCGCAAAGTAGATTACGGCCAAATTAAGTAAATTGCCCCGACGATGAAATCAGGGACGAATCACAAAATGCACGAATGATGAATTACGGAGTCGGAATGCGAACGGCGTGGAAGTGGAAGCTGTCTCGCATTGGCGAGCGACGAACTTTCGAGAATCTCGTAGCGCATCGCATCGCGGCGCATCGCGCCGCGTTAAGCCCCGTCTGACGCGCTGGGGCTTAAGAGAACGTACAAATACGCTCTCCGACCGATAAGCGAGCGTAAAGAGAGACACGTTTAGCGTCGCGTCGATTATTACCGGCACTGGCAGCTACAACGCGATGAGAAACTACGGCTTCCGCCGAGCTACATTAGGCGCATCAGATGGGACAGGTGCAGAGATGTTGCAGAGAGAGGATCCGGTCCTCTCTCGCCCGTCTCTCTCGGCTAGGGATGCCGCAAGACGAGACAAGACGAGATTTTGTAATTAACGTTTCTAAAAATCCCTAACAAATTTCTAAAAAATTATTTTGTGAAAATATTCGAATACATTTTCAATGATTTTTTTCGAAATTAAAATTTATTATTTCATTTTATCATTTTCATTTCTATCGGCTTGAGAATATTTTACAAAAGAACAGAATAATTCCTACAATTTTTCGAGATTCGAGATTTTCGAGTCTAGAATTTTGTCTCGTCTTGAAATTTAACAAGAAAAAGTCTCGTCTCGAATTCAAGACAAGGCAAGATGAGAGTTTAGAAATCTTGAATCTTGATATACTCGAGATTTTGTAATTAACGTTTCTAAAAATACCTAACAAATTTCTAAAAAATAATTTTATAAAAATATTCGAATACATTTTCGGTGATTTTTTTCGAAATTAAAATTTATTATCTGATTTCATTATTTTCATTTCTATAAGCTTGAGAATATTTTGCAAAAGAATAAAATAATTCCTACAATTTTTTTCTCGATCTCGTCTCGAATTCGAGACACGACAAGATGAGATTCTCGAAATCTCGAATCTTGACGGCATCTTTACTCTCGGCGCGCACGCCGCGCCGATCGCGGAGGAAGCGCGGCGTGGCGAGAGAAAAGTTTTATCATGCCGTGCGCGCACGATATGTTATTTACCTTACTTCACGCTCTTTGATAACCGACTTAAGCGCATGTATCGTCGATAACGGGATCCGATGCCGATGCGAAATACGCTAAAAATTCTAACGAAACAGCTACGGCCAGCGCAGCCAAATTTCACAATTAAACGCGCTCGCGCGGTCGCGGCGTCGCGAAGGAGAGGCGAATCCCGCGCGCTCAGCTCGCGTCGTCCGACCGCGCGCGCGCGTATAAAACGCAGTTGCACGACAGTTCGTGTTTAATAACGGCCAATAGCACGGCTAGCATCCGGCTGCGTCTCGAAGTGTGTCAGCGGGACACACCGACCGCCGAAACGCGTCCGAGCGTGGCTAAGACGCGACTGGAGAGACATTCCTTATCTAATTGGCATGGGCGATTGGAAAAGCGCTCGCCGATCGAAATACCGAACGGCGCGCTGTGTGTGCAAATCGACTTTCTTCCAATCGACGTCGCATGCCTTCGAAAGAAATTGCGGCCAATTTCCGGTCGCGTTCAAAAATGCGATGGCCCCACGGCTTCGAATGCTTGCACGCTTTTCCTGCACCAGAGAATTTCCCTTCGTATTTCTACTTCGTTGGGCGTCTCTCTGCGCGCGCGGCTCCCAAAAGTCTAAGCCAAAGTTATATTTGTAGAAATAAACAAACTGCGTGCGATGATATACGTGTCCGTCTAATTGACTTCGGTGGACAGCGATCTTTGCATAATAACGACACAGTTCTGTATATACGTACATATTTTAAGATGCTATATAATTATTTATCCGTGAATTATGTCCTCATTGTAATTGTGACTCAATTTGTAAGAACTTTGCGGAAAAAAATGCATTATGAAATCACGGTCAACTATAAATAGAGTTTAGCAACTTTCCGTTATATGTCCAGAAAATACAGATTATAACTGCAATGTTGCAGCAATATTGCACGGAAAGAACGATTTTGCTGGAAGGTCTAAAAATTTTGCTAAATACAGATCTGAAAATCATTCTTGTTGAATCATCAAAATAATTTTGTTGGAAAGTCAAACATGATAAGCATTTTTAACTTTCCAACAAAATTATTTTGATATTCTAGCAATCAGTTTGACTTTTCAGCAGAATTATTTTGATTGTATTAACAAAAATTATTTTTAGGTGTGAATCCAAAAATCGTTCTTTCCGTGTATAAAATTCCAGCTATATTACAGAAATGTTACAATATTGCTGTAATGTAGCAGTTATAATCTTGTGTTTGCTGGGTGTGTATCTTCTACATTTCTATAACAGCACAAATTCGGCGAAGGGACGCCGAAGTGCGACCGGCACGTAAGCGCAGGCGGAAGTTTAAAAGTTTAAAAATAGAGAACAGTATAGGAGGAACAGAGCAGGATGCGATCTCTTTCGAGCTTCAGTCGCGCCGTTGAATGCACTCCAGATCCGACGGGAACATGAAGAAACGCGAGATACACTCGGAGAGAATCGCGGTCACCATCGTCCATGACCTACGTTAAGTTTCGAGCTACGTTCGATTCGTTTCGGAGTGGAGAAAAGAGATACGTGTTTTAAGCGTGGCCGATTTAATAAAATGCAAATTCCACGGGCGCGTAATGTGGTACTCTCACTTTTTTTTTTCCTCATTCCATAAATATGTGGCGTAACGGCGGGAACGTAATAAAAAAGAAAAAAAATCTAAATTAATCTTAATTTGAATTTAAATATATATGACGCAACGCGCACGGTATCGTAACCTACAACCGACGCAAGTGTACGACATGGGCCGTGCAGTGGGAACGGCCTGCGGAGGCAACTGTACCACGTCCCTTCTGCTATAAGAATTCCCTCGATGAGTGCTCGATCAATTATTTGATCAACGATATATTAAGCGACACAGCGAAGAGAATTACTCATCCGTCTGCGGCACGATAATGACAGGCGAGTACGTATACCATGTTCCACGCGTACACGTAGTAAAACGCTTATCTACATACACGTCGACGAAACTTCTGCGCGAATGCTATACTCGCGGCTACGCGACTGCACTGGGGAATTGGGGAAACTAATTGAAAAAGGTATAGCCTATTTTCTCCGTGGAATTACTTTATCTCGGAACGAGAGAATTTTCCGCTTACCCAACGGGACCCCCATAGCGCGACTATCTCCTCGTTTCGCTGGACATCTGAGGTAGATTCGCCACGCCTGAAGAGAAGACGCCCACAGATGTCACGGGGTGAGAATATCGAAAAACGCACCTCTCTTTTTCTCTCTCTCTCTCTCTCTCTCTTTCTTTCTTCGGCAAAGATAAGACACGACGGCGACGAATCGACTTCCCTCGAAGCGGGACGACCAACGAAACATGCACTGAGCGTGTATGAAACTAACTCAAGTCCCTTATACCTGTCCAGCTCATAGAACGGAGCGTTCTCTCCCACTACGGAGGCGTTAAGCAGACCTCAACTCGCCGATACGTGCATCACATTACCCTACCCTGTGCCTACATGTATGGATAAACAGCTATTCATTTTTTTTTTTAATGTCAACGAAAAATAACAATGCAATTTTGAGCTACCAAAAACAGACATTTGTTGTCATTTGATTGTCATAAAATTTTGATTCAATAATTCTTCTGCCTTTGCATTATTTAGTATCAGGTAATTTTTTAAATATCTCATTTGTCTATCACTGTTTGTACATATTTACATGCAATTATTTTATAAATCAAATTCCAACAATACCCATAATCTTTTAGTTTTACTGTTGCAATCGTTAATTCGCTTGTTTATATCATTTTGTAGTTAAAATTTTTAAACTCGACGTGGAAATTAAATTGCATCTCAATGGAGAGATTTATTTCGATACAAATCACGAAATGTCTTGGTTATTTGCTTATCCTTTGTTTGCGAAGATAAAACGAAAAATAATTATAATCTTAAAATGATAAATCAATTTAATACATGCTCACTGGAGTTATATTTTTCAACGTTTTCGACAAAATTTGATTACGAGTCATTTCTAATAATTGTAATAATATATCAGTCCTAGTCGTTAAGAAACTTTTAACGGATTGAAGCTTGTTAAGCCCATACCGAGAAATGCGGCAATATATTATTGTAATTATACTGTGTGCAGGGTTTGGAAAATTCCACGTGAGTTAGTTTTTTGAATAAAATCAATGTCAATGATAAAAACCGGTTTTTATCAGTAATTTCCAGAATCAATGACACGAATGGTTTTTCGAAACCATTCTTTTCTAAGAAAACTTTCTAGAAATATAAAAGTGAAAGAGAATTACTTAAAAATAATTATTTCCCTACAGATTTCATTAAATTTTTTGTGCACTTACATAACTGTCCGGCGAATTCAGCATCAATTGAAAGGGTGTTTTCTAATTTAAGTTTTATTCAAAACAAAATTCGTTATAGGTTAAGAAATCAATGTAATAAATAAGTTGGTATTGTATTACAAAAATATTAAATGGTAAACTCGAATCAGATTTAAATTGTAATATAAATGTTTAATGCTACTAATTATATTTTTTATTAAACTAAAAATTTTAAATAAAATTTATCTTTTACTATTAACTTTCTTTATCTGTAAAGTTCTTGTTTAAAAAATAATTTTAATGTTTGAAAAATTTATTTTACATATTAATTCAAAAAAATTATTTATTATTATTACAAGATTTTCTTATTATAAATTGGTTTCTATTTTTCTCTTTAAAATATAGAATAACAATTTAAATTTAAGGCAAATATGTATTTTTACACAAAATAATAGAAATTATAAAGTATTATATAATGTTAATCATATAATAATCATATATTAATCATTTTACAGTTTTATAGTTTTTTTATAGTTTTTGTCAATTCATTCCAGTGAATGGAATTTCTGGAACGATAAAAATTGGTATTTACCATTTCTACCATTCAAATTTTACCATTTTTTGCAGTCAACCATGACTGTGTGTATTAAAATGTATAAAGTAAATGTGTAAAGTTAAACAAAATGTGAAATAATGAAAATACCTTCATAATCCTAAAATATTATTTTTTTGGCTGATAAAGGAATAAAAATGAAATTATTTGATCAAAAAAACACTAATTTACGAAGATGTCACCACTATATAGCAAAATTAACCGATTAGATCAAAATTGCATGTATTATGTGCCAATCTCATATTAATGATTAGAAAATACGGAAATATTCACCAATAAAAACAATCATAAGTTATATCCAAGTATATATATATAGGGTGTTCCACCTCTACCGTATTTCCTTTTAAGAATGTGTTTCTGAGATAATTTTGAGTCGAAAATCCTAATACAAAAATGTCGAGACTATAATACTTTTTAAATTATAAACAATTTAAGTTAACCAATATTAGCGGCTGAAATTCGCGCGCTTAGGCACGGCACATCCGATGGCCCCTTTTTTAAATATCAATACACGAAACTAACTTCGTGACTATGTATGTGTCGTACCTGAGCCCCTAATATTGGTTAACTTAAATTGTTTATAATTTGAAAGATATTATAGCCTCGACATTTTTGTATTAGGATTTTCGACTCAAAATTATCTCAGGAACACGTTCTTAAAAGAAAATGCGGTAAAGATGGAACACCCTGTGTATTAAATACCTTTTAATATTTGTAATGTCGTTTTTATTGAATATTTCTATATTTTTCCTATATTTTTCCTTCTATATTTTTCCATCATTCATTAATACAAGCATTAACATTAATACAAGATTAACATGTAATACATGCAATTTTGATTTAATCAATCAAATTTATATACGATTAAAAAGATCTATAAAAAACAAATCATTAATACAACAAGACTACGAGTCAGACGCAGTTAGTGGTGCGTAAATTCCTTCGCATAATGCATATATACCTATATTTTATGTATTTTACTAAAGAAAATTCTCTTAATCAAAGAATTTATTTTACGCACCACTAACTGCGTCTGACTCGTATAGCCTTGTTGTATTAATGATTTGTCTTTTATAATTTTTTTAACCTTAAATAAATTTCGAGTCAACCACTATGAAAATTAGTGTACATTTTTTTTAGAAATATATTGCTAATATTGCAGTAATACAATACTAGCAATACGCTATTAATGCATAGCAATACCTCGAGCAATACTTGGCAATATTGTGCATTAGGCAGCATATGAGATAAATGGCAATATTATTAACAATACGAAAGTAATATAATAGCAATACTAGCAATAAAGTGTGTTGTATTGCCATAATTGGCAATCACTGTACATTTTTTTAGTAGTGATTGACCCCTCGATTTTGATCGATTAAATTGCAATTATATTGTGTGCCAATCTCGTATTAATAAATGGAAAATATGGAAAATTATATATGGAATTATTCACAACAAAAACAACATTACGGTACAAATGTTAAAATATATTAAAAAATATATATGTATATTTAGAAAATTGTAAGATTCACACTAATATTAAATGGAAGCACTAAGATCCGCTTTATACCGTGTAAGCGTCATATGATCTCATTTATATATTTAGATATATTTGTAACGTATTATTGTTTTTCAGTTCTCAGCTCGCCGAGTTGTGGTTCAATGTTCTTCATATAATAACCTCCTACTCTGTGTCTACATGTACAAATAAACGCCTCTTCATTATTTTTTTTTTATAAAAATGATGTCAACGAAAAAGTGCAACGCGATTGAGCTGTCGAAAAGCATTTGCTGTTACTTGATTAAAATTCTGATTCAATAATTTTATTACCTTCTCAGAAATGTGCCTGAATTATACAGCCGTTTTATTTTTGCATTAAGAATTTGAATTTTATTTTGTATATGTAAGAATCTTGATTTATACACGGAGAGAATTTTTTTTTAAATTTACCCTGCAAATCATGTTAATTATGGGACAATATAGTATTTAAGCAAATTTTACTGTGCACTACAATAAGATTTCGCAGTAAAATTTATTGTGGTGCACAGTAAAATTTACCTAAATACTATATTGTCTCACAATTAACATGTTTTTCAGGGTAAATTAAAAAAAAAATTCTCTCCGTGTACGTCTATAAAAGATACTGCATTTTTTCACACATAACACACTAAAATTCTTGCCCTCCTAATCAATTACAGCTGTATTGCAAGAAACGAGAAATGATATGGCTCTTCTCTGAAATTTCCATAGCAAATATCGCAGATTGCAAATAATAAACATTTCCTTTTAACGCGATTAAAAATGAAAACAATTGTTTACAAAGGATATTATAGCTTAATTACAGCAATCATCTTTACACAACATAGAAATACATGAAATTACTTAAAATACACATTAAATATACAAATATGCACATAAAATAATATGCAATAAAATCTGCAATACTGTGCATTTGTATGTTTTTTAATTTTATGTGTATTTATATGCTTTTTAAACAATAAAACTTACATTTACAATATAATTTATTATTATATTTTATCACAATCTATTATCTGAGAAATTAAATGTTTTATAATATATATAAATTTTGCAAACAATCCATGTGATTGAAATAATTGCATTCTATTCAGCAATTAAATATTACGTATTAATGCTTTCTGTTTCAAACGAACAGATAATACAAAATATACGTTTTTTTTGTCTGAGATTCCATAATTAAGAAATTGTGCTAGATTATCACACAAAACTAATTAAATATTTTCAATAAAATTAATTTATTGCATAAATAATCCTATCTATGCAACAATTAATTATGGAAAAATGCTGTCCGAGATTTTGTCTGGAACAGTTCTATTTATGTTCTTTGTATAACAAATTATTATGGCAAAAAATTATATATAATCGTGTAAAATTATTATACATTAAATTACATTAAAGGAATATTATTAAACACCGAAATCCAGCCTCAATTGTATTTGACGCTTTCTCTATTTAATTATTTTTACACAACATAGAAATGCTTAAAATATACACTAAATATACAAATATGCACATAAAATATCCGTAATAAAATATTCACAATATGAAAATTACGCGTGCGGCGTGCATTTATATAGAACGCTTTCTAATAAAAACAATAATAAAACTTATCTTACATTTGCAATATAATATTTGTTATATTTCATCATAATCTATTATCTGAAAAATTATAAATGTTGTTCTAGTCATTAACTTATTATTGTTTATAATCGTTTGACTTTGCAAAAACAATAAAAAATGAAAAAATCTTTTGCATGTACTTTTATAAATATATACGGAATAACGCGGAATAAATTGAGAGTGATCAATTGATCGACATGCAAAGAACAAAGATAAAAGAAAAGATCAAATTAAATAAATATATAATATAATAACTTCAAGTTTCTACGTAACTCATCCAACTTGTGTAATCTCTTCTTTTCTTTATTATCTAACACTAAAATATCTTTTATATAAAAACTTACACAGATTATAAAGTTAAGATTATAATTATAAGAATGTTATTAATATACAAAAATTCGAAACTATTTCGAAAAAAGCAATAAAAACCTGTATTTTTAATTTAAAGCAGATTCCTTTTGATAATAAAGTCAATCTTTCCTTAAAACAAACATTGAGGAAAGTTAATTGGTCTCCATTTATTGCAATTTTTTGCATCATGTATCTTTTTAACTAAATCTGAAATTATAATTCTGACATTTTTGCATCATATATAATATTTTAA